TAGTAGTTCTAGTTCTAGTAGTAGTACTAGTAGTTCTAGTAGTAGTACTAGTAGTTCTAGTTCTAGTAGTAGTACTAGTAGTTCTAGTAGTAGTAGTAGTAGTAGCAATCACGAGCGTCAACCAACTTAGAAGAAGTTCTTCAACAGAGCAATTGCAATTGATGACAATAACCGGTGAAATGTCGTGAGATGCGCTCACTCTGCCCCAGCAAACTTTTGAGACCGCTGCCGGTTTTTAGTACCTACCTACCTGGTACCTACCACCCACTACTCCTAACTTCCCCCCTAAGCCTTTACAGGGGAGCCTTGCAAGCATAATAGCTACCTCTCACAATCAAGGGGATGCATGTTGATCTGTCACCACTGCCGATTCCAGCAGGTTGTCCCCTCGTCCAACGGAAAAAACAAAAAAAAAGAAGAAAAAAAAAGCTTGTCTTCCTCCATTTCAGTTCAGGTTGAGAGTTTTTTTTTTTTTTTTTTTTAGAGTAACATCACAGCTTGTCAAAACACTCAAAAACAAAGAGAGAAAAAAAAAAGAAAGGTGGTCCTCCCCGCGGCGGTGTAGTGGCGGATTTAACGGGAGTGGTCGCCGTGAGAGAATCGCACAAGTAATCACACTCAAGACTAACAAGTTCAAACCACCAGTTCCTCCGCCACTAGTACGCGGCCGCAGGGCCCTCGCGGCAACTTTCGGAGGCCCGCGCCACGACCTAAGGGCGTCGATGAAAAATCTCGACGGCCCCCGGCCGCCGAAAGTCGCGGCGCGTTAACATTACCCCCCCCCCCCCCCCCCCCCCCCCCGTGGCCGCATAGTGGCGGATGTACCTGATGGGGCTGGTGTCCAAAGTTCGGACACCAGGCTCGCTCACATGGTTTAAACTTTAAATCGTTTGAGCGAGCCTGGTGTCCGAAGTTCCAGCGCGACGGGGCTCGTCAGAATCCGGTTCGGCTACGGCTGGGTGGCCGGTCCAGCCTTGGTAACGATACCCTGCTATTCGGTCGATGTCGCCCTCCAAGATGGCAGGGTGATAGATAGCCCTGAGTGATTCGCACCGAGCTAGGGTAGTGGGGATAGGCGCTGCACTAGGAGAGTATTGACGAGAGGACGGGCTGGGAAGGTAGCGTCATAATTGGCCGGATAACCAAATAGCTGACTGACTGAGACTGCAAGCAGCGTGTCTGGACTCCGAACCTCTACAACAACCGGGCCTTTCCTTAAACCACCAGTACTAGGCCCAGCTATCGGCCGCGGTGCTTTCCCGTTAACGCCCCGTGCCTTTAGGGCTTCGGGGTACCGGACCACAATGGCTGGAAGCGCCAGCCAAAATTTGTCTGAAATGGTACCCCGG